ATCTCAATCTCAATCTCAGCAAACCAAACCAAACCAAACCAACCATACAAACCCCCTTTCACAAAACCCCCTTCACAAAACCCAAACCCAAATCCCAAATCCAGATCACAAATCCACGTTCCTCAGAACAAAAACGAGCACTGCACCAAAAATCTCTCACAAAGGAAAAGAACAATACCAACATCCCACAAAGAAAAAATACAGTACAATAGGATACGATAGGAAAGTGGGAATCCCATGTTTTTGAAATAGGGGTTTTTAAAGGTTTATGAATTTCGTTGTTATTATTTTGTATAGGGTATGTATCTTGCGCGAGTCGATATTGATGTACTCCCTGGTGTTTGTAGATAACTACTACTTATAGACTTCAAGTGCAATTAGATTTCTCAGTAAATCACTCATAACACTCATATATATCAAATAAAAGTAGAGAAGAACAGTCTTAATTCTATTCCCCTCCAAAGCAAAAAAAACTATTCTAATCATCATATCTTCTGATGACTATCTATCCTTGATTCAAATCGAATCAAACCACATTCCATACACAATAGCAACTGAGAAACCATTTAAAAGCATCATGCCCAAGGTATTCTCCGACTATATTGAAGATGTTGAAGTTCTCCGTAACGCCGAAATGCTATGTATACCACACACATCCCATCCCCCAAAAAGTAATAATCCATTACCCGCCATATCTATGGTCTATGTTGAAAGACTTTTATCCTCATTTATGTCTTTTACTATCCGTCATCCTTGAAAAGCAAATAAAAAAACATGAGAAATAATGCTTTTATCAAACTTTAAAGCATCTTTAAAGTATCTTTGAAAACAAATGTATAAAAAATTGAATGATATCATAAAAAAACTCCCGCCATATTTTGGCCCCAAAGGTCGTTGAGACCATGCCGTTCATCAATCATTGCGCCGTTAGATATCCGTAGGAAATTCAGGGAATCCTGGTTGTACAAAGATGTTGAGTCTTGTACTGATGTTGTATTTTGAGTTTATTATTTTGAGTTTAGAGCTTGAGGGTCTTTGGCTTCTCCCAGCTGAATTCTTGACTGGTGAAGTGACCGTTCTTAGCAGTCTTGAAATAGATTGGCTTAGCCAAATCAAGCTCCTTGACAATGGCGGCAGGTCTCAAGTCAAAGTTGGCTCTGATGATCTCTCTAAACAGGTTCATCAGATGTCTTGCTGGAAGTACCG